ACATTAGGCTATATAGGAATAAAATCCTGGGGAGTCTAATCATTGAAACTAAAATATGATTATGAAGCTATGGATTGATTAGAGTTCTGATACAAAATAAACACAATTTACTTACATACAGTGCATCTATATTTGTCGCTAGGAGGTAGCCAACCTTATCGATGTTTTCATAATAAGCCTATCCACCTTATCAATTTTCAGATGTCTGCCTAGCTCTGTAGGTCCCAAATTATTCTCTTAGTGATAGAGACTTCACTCAGTTCGTCCCAGCTGACGTGGGAGCGATGTCAGGTGAAAACAGGACCACTCAAATGTGGTATTTGTCCCTAATGTATCCTTTGGACGGTTTGGTGTTTACTTACAAGCATAGATGGAAACTCTCAATTTGCAACGAGCATCTTCAGCAATATTAGTGGAACTTTAAGGGACAAAAAAACTGTCAAATAAAGATTTTAAATCTGAACCGAATGTTTCAAATGCCTTTACTCTGTATTTGGAACCAAAGTCTGAATTGTCACCCTATGGGAAGACCAAATAATCACTTACTCGGCACAGTAACCAGTTTTGCTGAAATGAATGTAGCAGTTACAACCTGATATTCCCCTAAAACACGGCATTGAAAATCCTCAGGGAATGCAATTGCGAAGCTAGGGAAAGAGCGAGAGGGAGAGATCAAAGCAAATTGACAGCACTGTCTCATTCTTTTTCACGAGAGTTCAGCTTTGAACACGAATCAAATGACCTGTGTAAGACCTCCATCATGTGGAATTTGCTACTGGAGATTAACAGATGCATTAAATGTAACAGTGCGACTGGCAATTTCTGTATAATGAATACTTGCTTCAGCCTTCAGTCTATAAAATATGCATTTGTCCTCACACAGATAAAGGGTAAGGAATGAGGGGGAGCGTCACCGGAGCACATTTAATCACATGCGTGAACTTGACATCTGAATTCTGAGACACTGGGATTTGCACCTCTGTTTCCTGAAATACGTATTATATATCAGCCAATTAAATAAATATGAGTTCGTAGATGGCTCTCCAAAGCAATTTAAAGACCAAGTAAGAGTAAGCATCTAGAATGAAGGAAAAGATTGTCCAAATAAATCTGTTTAACCTCATGAGAACACATTTTCTCTGAGACAAAACATATAAATTACACTGTAACAGTAATCTTCATTTTACGGTGCTAAAAGTATATTTCAATATACTGCAGATAGAAACAGTTCTTTTGTAAGTGATTTCTGAAGAGAGATATCGGGGCAGTGTTCTCTGCAAAATAAGGTCTGTCCACAAGGTACTCTGCCACATAACATGAAAAATAGAGACATTTATTGAACGAGATACATGATACGAGAAACATTGTCCACAGGACAGTGATGCCTCAGTCCCCTTCAAAGTAGGCACCTTGGGGCCTCGCACCATTCTCCCAGTCACCATCACTGCCCCGTCATATTTTCCTGAATCTAATCAACGGTCTGAAATCTGTTCCCTTTCAAAGGTGATTTTAGTTTTGGGAAAAACCAGAAGTTGCTGGTCGCCAAATCTGGGCTGTAGTAGGGCTGAGTCACCTGGGTGTTTCAATGCTTCACGAAAAAACTCTGCACGGGTTGAGATGCATGAGCAGGTGCATTGTTGTGATGAAGCTGCCGATCACCAGGTGGCCGCAGCTGCAGCCTTCTGAGTCATCCGAATAGTTTCCACGGGAGAATGTTCAAGCTTCACGCAGAATCTGATGCAAATTTGTTGCTCTACTCGCTCAGTCCTTTTGAATGTGACAACCGCACAGTACACATGCTCACTCAATGGCGTCTACCACCCTCACTGATTGAGTATCCAGGGAAGTCGTCACTGTTCACACATGTGCATTCCAGTCCACGCTCCTTGGCCGCCAGGTTACATCCATGTCACACAAACTGTTCTCATTATATTAACAATGGCTGGATTTTTCTGGACAGACCTCATGTATTCTTTGTGAATAGGCATTTTTATCATTTTTCTTTTTATAGTGTTTTCCAGTATACTTCATTGATATACATATTGGCAGAATTTTGGTCATCATTAGAACCTTACCTTTAATTCAGGTTGCCTTTTCAGCATCAAATAATCAACTAAATGACTACATTGCATTTTCCCTATGAAAGACTACTGTAATATTCACAGGGTATTGGTGCTGCATGAAGATAATACACTTCCCTGGAAAAAAATTCCTTTCTTTACAGTTAAATGTTATTCGTGAGGTACAGAAGCCCTCTGAGAATGTTGTTTTAAGTGTAATTAATTTTAACTCTACTGATCCACTGTGCACATTATTTGGAATTTGCACTGAATTAATCTGTGCTTGTCTCATGCTATCTCTTTGGGAAATAGTTTGTGAAGCTAATTAAATGATATCAATAATATTAAGGGAAATATTACTGTTCACTAATAAAACTATTCTTAAAAGAATGTTTTTGGCTCTGGCTGGTGTAGGTCAGTGGATTGAGCATGGGCTGCAGAGCAAAGGGTCACCGGTTCGATCCTCAGTCAGGGCACATGCCTGGGTTGCAGGCCAGGTCCCCAGTAGGGGGCGTGTGAGAGCAACCTATCGATGTATCTCTCGCACATTGATGTTTCTCTGCCTCTCTTCTTCCCTTCCTGTCTTTCTAAAAATAAATAAATAAAATCTTTTTAAAAAAGTATTTTCACAGCACTCATCCAAATGGAAACAGTTATGACATTAATTACACTTCTGTTTTTTGTGCATTCATTTAATATTGATTCACTAGTAGTTGGTGAATTTTTATGTATTCACATATGGAACAACGAAGTTTTTCATAAAACTTTTTAAAATTAAACTGGGATTTTCATCCAAGGTGTCCTGAATGACTGCGATTAAAAGCTTTAGTTTTTATAAGTTGTATACACACACATATTGTGAACAATATTCTGTGCACCGAAGTGAGTAGAAGATTTTCTTTTGGTAAGTCTGGACATATGATTTCATCTGGCTGTAGGTCATGAATAGTTTTCTTTTTTGTCATAAATGTTAAGAACTATAGCCATACCTATTAGTGAAAGGGGAAAAAAGTTCTTTTAGAACAAATAATGTCAATGAGCTTCTGGTTATTTATTATCAGACTCAACTGCTGTTTGTCACTATACACAAAATTAACTCAGAATGGATCAGAGATGTAAATAGAACACCTGAAACAATAAATTACATAGAAGAACACACGGGTGGTGAACTGACAGACCTGGGTCTTAGAGAGGCTTCTATGAATTTGACCTCAAAGGACTGTATCAAACAGCAAAGCAAACTACCAACAAAACACAAGGTCAGTGTCAAGATGAATTGTTGGGAGAAGCTCTAGAGATGTCTTAAATGAACTATATTTTATAGAAAATTATTATGTGAACAATAATATTGCATTGCTCCACAATTTATGTGAAACAGTATCTGCCCTTGACTTGGGATGTCAGCTACGACCTTGGGGTTATGTGTCAACTATTTTCCAGTTTAATCCAAAAATCAGCACAATTATAAAAACCTTATGATTTTACTTGTATGTGGGGCATAAAAATGAAACTCAGAAGCACCGACGGACAGCAGTTTGGGTCAAATATACGGTGACAAGATGATTTGTCATAGAAATATATGCTTGTAACATATATGATCTTATTAACCAATGTCACCCCAATACATTCAGGAAATGAAAAATAATATATAATAAATCATCTTCTTTCAGTTAAAATGACTATATACATTTGCTTATCATATATAGGCAAATGTTTCAATATTGTAACTATATTTATTGTTGTAAAATTTAAGGCTGCTCAATGAATTGCTTTTATGATGACCAGTAAATTAAACTTTCCTTTAAAATACAGTTATATGTGCATAGTTTGTAATTCAATATCACCCAAAATACGTAAACCTCTACCTTCCCCATTTCTTAAATACGATTCTGCAGGGGTGTAGGATATTTTAAATTTTAATCTCACAATAAATGGTTATTTAATAGAGATATTTGGTGTTAATGAGAGTCAGCTCTTATGCATCTAATTCTTTCGTTGTAAGGGTGATGGGATAATGAGCACTTGCACTGCATATCATTTGGAAGGTTTATAGGCTCATGAATTTATCATTTTAATTTGTAGTGTTGTCTTTTCAGGGAATTGATGTTTTTATTATGATGCCACATCCTTCATTATAGCTAATAATAACATTTCTTGTTCTAAAGTTACATTTCATGATCTAAGTACTGTCTTTATTTAACTAGTGTTTGTATATTGCATACCTATTGGCATTTGAAAACTTCACAGAAACCCCATATAAAGGAGCTCTCGAAAGTGTTATAGTTTAACACTAAGCATTTTATGTCTGTAGTTTATTGTGTCGTTAAACTGATTTGTCATTATTTCAGAAAATCAATTATCTTTGAGATAATTGTAGCTATACTTCATCCTTGAAATAAGAAGGCATTTTAGGGTTCAATAAACTATATTTTCCAATTAATTTAATTTATTGTTAGATATATTCTCAGATTAATTAATTAGATTCTTAATCAAATGGTTAGTTATAATTGCTTAGTTCATTATATGTCTCATGACTGGTTCTCCCATTCATTTTGCTTCTGTCCTCACTTCCTGTTACTTTGTTCCTTATCAATGGACTTTCATGTTGATAAACATGAATGAGCATAGTTTCCATTTATAGTCACAAACACAATTAAAAATAAGTACATTTGGGGGACTAAACGAAAGTATCGTAATGATGAAAATGAGATTCCATCTACCCACTACTGGTTGGTTGTGTTTTCTGTAGGAATTATTTTTTGACAAATGAAGGACCCATTGGGGAAATATTGGAAGTCTACTGGAAGTCTCCAATGTATCTGTATATAGATTTTTAATACATAGATTTTTCATTTGTCCCATGACAACAATGTGTTTTAAGTAGCTAGGAAAATATGCCTTTGAAATCCACCTTGTACCTTTTGTCTCGCCCCCTCGCAGCCGCAGAGATAACCGTGCAGCCGACCTTGGAGGAGGTGTCGGACACCTGCACGCAGGAGTGCCTGATCCTGGGCCACTCCGACGCCTGCTGGATGCCGGCCGCCCTGACCCGGGCCAGCCCCTTGCACGTGCAGGCCGCCGTTCCGCGCCACAGCCCGCCGCTGACCCTGACCTCTGCTCACCACCAGCACCGCCGCAGCCCTCCGGCGGCCGAGTTCATCAGCCTGTCTCACAGCCCGCCTCTGCCCGCCTCCGCTCACCACGCCAGCCCTCCCCCGGGCCAGGCCGCCGCGCCCCAGCACAGCCCTGCGCAGCCAACGGATGAGTCCGCGGAAGGCATTGCCTTGAAAACCTTCACGGCAGGCCGACAGGCCAGAGCCCCACGGGATGATGAACATCCCTTCTAAAGTCACATTTCTCAGCAGGACGTATATCGTCGAGATTTGAAATCCAGTTTCCATGAATATTCCAGATTGTTACTTTTGTACATAGTTATATACATAGAAGCAGATACCAGAACAGACTCTAGAGCTAGATACCCTTAGTCAAAACACAAAAATGAATTCACAATTTGTTGACTTCAGAATGTGTACTTAAAAAGAAATTGAAACACTCATTCCCCTCTGTACAGACAGGCTTGCCGTGTGAGACAGTGACAGTGTTTCTGATGCACCGTGACTGTTCATTTATCGTCGACAAAATGTGCAATATTACTGATTGTGTTTCCGTTCTGATGTTCGTAGTACGTAGCAAGTGGACTAGCAAATATCTGGTTTTCCGAGAGTACCCTTAGTTTATCTCACCTTTTGTTCAAATAACATTGGAAGGTAGGGCAGCATCTTTGTATGTCTTTTCGTTTGATACTTGTTGCTCTCTAGTTTCTTTCTTATCACTGTTTGTACGAAAATGCACAGTACCACGTGTAAATAACTGTTCTATTTTGTCTGTCTTTTTTATGTTTTCTACCTTTATTTGGAGAATATATTGTGCAGAGATTTTGTATAGACCTTTTCAGTAACGAATATATATACACTGTACAGATTTCTGTCTAACCTATTCTCTACTCTTTAGTAGAGTTCGAGACATTGAAGTGCAATACGTGCGCCCCAATGGGCGTCTTTCTATGAAAAATTATTTTTGTAATGTAGTGTAAAGTGCATCAGAAATTATGTTGTATCTGCAGTTTAAGCCTATGTTCCATGATTAATTAGATCTTTATCTTCTGCGATTTGTACATAAGAACCTGGAAATCCCAAGCAAAGTGGACGCATTTGATGAATGATTCATGAACAGCCATGACCGGAAACTGCTATTTCCTAAGGAATAGCAGGAAGTTTTAAATGGTGACGTGAGAGCTGAATAGGCTGATACCAAAAGACAGTCAGTAAAAAGAATACGCAAATTAATGTAACTAGATAAAACCACATAACAAACCCATATGACTAAGGGATTTTTCTCATTCTAGCTCAACTTCCTGAAGAAAACCACTGATAGATAACAAGATGAGAATCCAGACAGACGATCCTAAATCAACAGGACAGGGTTTTAAGGAGATGTGCAGAGGAAGAGATAAGGTTCCTGACAGCTTCTTGAGGTAGATAAGCAATACCCCGAGAACACAACCAACAAAAACAACGACGACAAAATCTAGATGAAAACGAAACATGTTCTAAGTGAAGGGAACTTCCACACTAGTTTCCTTCCGTGGTCATTTAGTTCCTTTGTTGTCCTTCTGGCTGGCCGGTTTCACCAGCGGTGCACGCTTGTGCACGTTTCACCGATTTACGGAAACAGCACCAACTCCATTCTTCTCCGCAGCAAAACGCAGACAATGTCTTGTTTCAGTATTATGCTAAACCAAGACACAATTGATGTATTCATTGGGGGTGGGGGGAGTGAATAGTTCTTGTTAGTTAAATTAGATGTAGACTTCGTGACGTGTACCTTGGAGATCTGTAATTTATGATGAAACTGTGTGTAAATGTTGTACTATAAAGTGTGGTGAATGTATCATTTCATTGGCGAAGGTTTCCACTGAATGTTGAGAAAGCTTCTCTTGTTGTGCCCAGCAGGTGACGTAGCGACTGAGAATATATTGTTCCCTTTGGGATACTCTAAATCATATTTGCTTTAGTGTGTAGAATGACTTAACTTTTAACCACAAGAATCTAATTGCTGAAATTTGAACTGAGTTAGTGTTATTAATATTGTTTCTGCTTTGTGTTTGTTAATACTGGAAGGTTATGGATACTGAAGATTTTAAACCTGGAGATGATAATGAAACCCTTCCAGTAGACTGTTGGCTGTTTTTTTTTTTCCTCTGAAAACTTGCACAGATAATGTGTGAGAATTTTCTCTTCTATTTTAGTTATTTTCACATTTCTTTTCTCTGCACATTTTAATTAGGATCTACACACACACAATTAAATAAAGACGAGAGACAAAAAGGAAAATCTGAAAAAAAAATCATTAAATAATATGTTAGGCATATGACTGGTTACTATATTAATAAAAATCAGAATAGGAACCAGAGTTAGATATTTTGATTTTTTTTTGTGCTTTATTGAGTTAACAGGAGCTGTTAAGTGCTCCTGTCTAAAATTAGTAAAGTTTGGAGACCTTCCCTAGAGACACAGAAATGAACCAATACGCTTACATTGTGTTCGGAATATTGAAAGGCTGGGCATCCTCTTCTGGGTCTGCACCAGAGACGCCTGGGATGGAAGTAGGCTAGAACGAACCAAAGAGGCGAGGGGTGTGAGTGCCGTGATTCTCTTTCAAAGCTTCCTCCAGGTCTGGCCTTGGCACCCTGTGACTTCTGAGGCATTAGATGTGATGAGACCTTTCTCATCACACTGCAAATTCTCAAACTGCATAGACAGAGCTATGGGTTGCCACAGTTCACAGGCAGCTCTTTGGATGAGCAAAGTCTTTAGTTGCAGAGCCAGAGAAAGTGTTGTTCTTCCATCAGTGCAAAACAATACCCTTGGAAAAAGGAAAGATCTGATTTAGTTTGAAATTCGAACTTCAAATTGAAAGATAAGTGGTAATATATTCAGTGAGACTGGTTATTCAATTTCGTGGCTATGTTCAGTTACATGTGATTAAGACTTTACTTGCTATAGTGTTTCTGTATCACATTTATAAGTATCTATTGAAACACCTTGTATCTTATGTGCTACGTGCATACACATTGTTTTCTTGAATTTTACCTTCAAGTGCAAGCTAATACTGTGTGGGTGTATTAAAAACAGAGTTACATATGATACAAAAAATGTGATAAACTTAGAGAGTGCAGTTTGTGCGGTCTAATTTAGCTACTGAGCCTTTTCTTTCTGGTAATGTAAATTTGGTCAGAAAACACGGCCATCAAATGATGAGTGCTATTGTGTTTTGGTGACAGTTACGAGCTTCTGCCTTCCCAGACTCATATTTGTCACACATTGCCATGAAGATGGATATACGTGGACTAAAGACAATCACAAACTGTGCAGTCCTTAATAATGCCATCATGTCACACCCCCCAAAACCACCGACCCGTGTGCTTTCAGTGACTGTGATTTGTTGACAGCAGCCGAAGGCTCCTCACAAAAATGTGTGTGCGCAGCCGAAACAAAGTGAAGACAATTGTTTAGTGATTGTGATCTTTTTAGAAATCAGATGTGTGAAATTGATGCTCTCTCTCCTTCAAGTACTTGGGACTTTATGAAATAAAGATTCATGTTTGTATTTTGAGAAGCTTCTTCCTCTGTGACATGAACAGCATCTGAAATGAACAGGTTCGATATCGTGTGGCCCAGGACGGCAGGACGTGCTATGGATTGTACACAAATGTGTATGGATTGTTCTATTTCAGGTTCTGTATTGCATGTTTTCTTATATTCATTAATAAAGGTATTAATAAAGTTATAAAATCTAAGAGGCATTTGTATTGTGTGTTCATTCAAGACTCGAAGGCATTTTATATTGGTTTTTAAATTCACACAGACTAGCCTTGGCTGGTGTAGCTTGGTGGATTGAGCATGGGCTGCGAACCAAAGGGTCGCTGGTTCGATTCCCAGTTTAGGCCACGTGCCTGGGTTGTGGGCCGGGTCCCCAGTAGGGGGCACTCCAGAGGCAACCACATATTGAAATTTCTCTCCCTTGTTGATTTTTCCCTCTCTCCTTGCCTTTCCCTCTCTAAAAATAAATAAATAAAATCTTTAAAAATAATTCCTATACAGTAAAATACACCTTGGTGGTGGTACACACCCACGAGTTCCTTTTTTGTTTACAGTGTTAAGACCTTCACAATAATTCTTTCAATGAACTAATGCTCTCACTTTTTAAAGTTGATGAACAATAATGTAGTGTTTTAGGAGATTTCTTCTGCATCTCTCAAGACAAACTTAGAAGATATTTATACAGTGGGAAAAAGTAGGCTTACAGTCATTCATTTGGAAAATAATACAATAATTTTAATAATTTTAATTAAAAAATAATACAATAAGGCTCTTGCCTCGTTTAATGGAAAAGTCACCTAAAGATTTCTCCATACAGAGATGCAAAATAAAACCACAATGAGATACCAGTTCACACTGGTCAGAATGGCCATCATAAACAAAGCAACAAACAACAAGTGTTGGAGAGGTTGTGGAGAAAAGGGAACCCTAGTGCACTGTTGGTGGGACTGCAGACTGGGGCAGCCACTGTGGAAAACAGCATGGAATTTCCTCAGAAAACTAAAAATGGATCTGCCTTTTGACCCTGCCATTCCACTGCTGGGACTCTATCCTAAGAGCCCTGAAACACCAATCCAAAAGAACCTATGCACCCCGATGTTCATAGCAGCACAATTTACAATAGCCAAGTGCTGGAAGCAACCTAGGTGCCCATCAGTAAATGAGTGGATCAAAAAACTATGGTCCATGTACACAATGGAATTCTATGCAGCAGAGAGAAAGAAGGAGCTCCTACCCTTTGCGACAGCATAGATGGAGCTGGACAGCATTGTGCTAAGCAAAAGAAGCCAGGCAGAGAAAGACAAATATCACATAATCTCACCTACAAGTGGAACCTGATCAACAAAACAAACAAGTGAGCAAAATAGAACCAGAAACACTGAAATTAAGAACAAACTGACAGTGACCAGCGGGGAGGTGGGAGGGGATAAGGGGGGGGAAGGGTTTTCAGGAACAGCTAAAAGACACGTGGACAAAGCCAAAGGTGGGCAGGATCAAAAGTGGGAGGTGGGGATGGCTGGGGTGGGGGGGAGTTGTGGCGGGGGGAATGGAGACAACTATACTCGAACAACAATTTAAAAAAGTAAAATATACATGAAATAAGTTGGTTTAAAAAAAAAGATTTCTCTATCCAATCCTTTAGGATCCAAGAGAAATAAGTTTCTGGAGAATGTTGATAATGTTGG